TTTTTGCAGATGGGGGTCTTGCCAGCTATCTGCCTGGGCTGACCTCAATCCATGACTCTCCCAATCTCAGCCTCCAAAGTAGTTAGGTTATAGGAATCAGACATCTGCTCTTCTATCTTTTAGGAACAGTAATTTTAATAGCTAGAATTTCTGTAAAAGAATGGGGAAAGTTTCAAAGGCAGATATATGGATTATCATTCCCATAACAGTTTTGTTTAATCCTCACTCTTTGCTAGCTGGGATTACGAAGATAAAGACCAAATCTTATCAAATACAACATTGTGCATTCATCTCATTTCTGAAAGTCCAGTTGCTATAGTTTCCATCATCTGACGATCAGTTTTGGCCTACAGGATGGGAAGAATGTTGCTTCAGATAAACTGGTCATTTTACAAATCTCAAAGAATAAGGCTTTTTTACAAATATTATGAAGCAAAACATTACTGAAAGTAAAAACAATGACAATATTATCATAGAATTAATTTTAAACTTCTGAAGCACTACATAAATTGTAATAAATTTAACATACATAAATACTGCACACAGATAACATATAAATAAAGGATAAAGAGTAATACTAAAAAAAAAGAATAATACTAAAGTTTATAAAGTCTCCTTTGAGTTAGTAACACTTTCTATAGTGATTCTTTAAAAATAATTCTAGTTAATGACTTTTTTCTTTAAGACTTAAAAAGCAAGCTTACTTTCATCATTACTTGTCAAAGTATAGTACATTTTAAATGCTGACTTTACCAGCATTTGTATCACCCACTAAAAAAATAATTTTGGGAGGTCACCTGATAAATTTTAAAGTATTATTTATGTACATAAAGAATTAAGCCAAAAATCTTTTTTTCTAAACTGTAGGCTCATTTTAGAATACTTCCTTTCATAGTTTAATGCAGTCTTGCTAATGTAACCAGAACAAATCTCTATTGATAAGAAACTAACAGCTACCAAAAAATCAAGACCTAAAATGGGTAATATAATTTCAATGAAAGGCCACAATTGAAGGTTGTATATTTAATTGGTATTTGGAGAATGTTGGCACAGATTCTTGGGGAAAGGAAATCTAAAGTTCAGTCTTTCTTACTGTTTTAGCCGTTTGTGCTGCTGTAACAGAATATCTGAGACCAGGTAGCTTATAAAGAGCAGAAATTTATTTCTCAAAGTTTTGGAGGCTTGAAAGTTCATGATCAAGGCTCTGGCATCTGGGAAGGCCTTTGCCTCATCATCCTATGGGTGAAAGGACACTGGGAGGAAGAGAGAGAGGCAAGAGGGGGCCAAGCTCATCCTTTTATAAGGAAACCACTTTTGTGATAATAGCATTAATCCATCCAAGAAGTCAGTATACCCATACTACCAACCTATCCCATTGGTCCCACTCCTAACACCACTGCCTCAGGGATCAAGTTTCTAATACATCAACTTTGAGGGACACATTCAATCCACAAATGGAATGTGTTAAAGTCCTATATGACTTACAATCATTGGAAGAAGTCATACCAGACAAATTGGTCATTATAAATAAGTCAGAAAAAAATTCCACAGGCAAAATTTGTATTCAGGAAGGATGTTGCTATCCAAGAATATTTCACTAAGTCCTCATTGAGTATTCAGTAACAGGTAATCCATTTCCAAATGCTTTATAGATTTTATTTTTAATCTCATTTTACTTAATAAGAAAAAGAAGACTCAAGCTGCTTAGCTCCAGAGCTGAAAAAGATACTGTATTTGAACATCATATAAGTTAAACTTATACATTTATGCAGCCATATTCATTTCCATAACTGCTGAATGACCAAAAAGGAGAAAAAGTGTTGCTGATTGCAAATGGTATTTGAAAAAAAAATAAGGTGTGCTTTTGGCAATTAGTGCGAGCTCCAAACATCTTTGATAGTGCTAAAATCTCAAACATCTGGAGTCACAAAACCAGCAAGCTGCTCAGAATGGTCTGGATGTGTGGATGTGGAGCATGCCCATGCATGCATAATTGGAATAAATCTCAGAGTCTGAAATAATAAGTCCTTGGCTTGGATTCTTTTTACTAAAAAAAAAAAAAAGAAAAGAAAAAGTGAGGAAACACAGAGGGATTATCTGGTCTTCCCAATTCATTTATCCTATTCTAATGTGTTGATGTGTACATTCTGTGGAAAGAAAGCTCTAAATAATTAAGTCTTTTAACAAGCTAAGATGTGCAATTCCTGCAAAAGGTCGACTGCCTCTCTGAGCTTTGCCTCTGTGTAGCAGAATGGGTAATAACCAATAGTAACCTAAAAATAACACATTTATTCCTATAAAAATAACTGATTTTAAAGCCATAAATGGTGATATACACCTGTAATCACAGCTACTCAGCAGACAGAGGTGGAAAGATTTCAAGTCCATGGTCAGCCAGGACAAAGTTAACAAGACCCTCATCTCAAAAACGAGTATGGCTTAATCCCCAGTACCAAAATAATAAATAAATAAAAATTGAAAAGCCTGTTTATACTATTTGCTTAGTTTATGTTCTTAGCAACACAGGTTAATAGGAAGTATATTCATTGCCATTACTCTTAGGGGATACATTCCAAGAGCCCAGCAGATGCCATAAACTGTACCAATTCTTAAATGTACTATTTTTTCCCTATACATTCATGCATATGGTAAAGTTTAACTTATAAGTTAGACACAGTAAACAATTAAAAAAATAAGTAAAAATAAAATAGCATAATAATGTACTGTAGTAAATGCTATATGAATGTGATCTCCCTCTGAAAATATCTTATTGTACAGTACTCACACTGACCCTGTTGATGTGAGATGACACAATGCCTACCTGAAGAAACACAGTAATGTGAATGACATGGGCCTTGTGATGTAGCGTTAGGCTTCTGCTGACCATCTCACTGGAACGCACATACTGTGCCACCTTGTCAGTTCATCTGACAACCCAGATGACTACTAAGTGACTAGCAGGAGGGTAGCAGGTACAAAGAAGTGAATCACAGCCTGGGTGGGAAAGAGCATGGTGTTGTGAGATTTCATCAGGCTACTCAGAATGGCATGCAATACCAAACAATATTTTCAGAATGCAGTTGATCATGGGTAAACTGAAACTACTGTGACATCATTCCTTAGAAGAAATAAGATTATATGCTAAAGCAAATTCATCTGCTATGCATCATTACTGTATAGCTTTTCATATCCTAAACCTAAAGCTCAAAACAGATAATTACTTTTTGGCAGTAGTACTGGTGTTTGAACTCAGGGCCTCTACCACTTGAGCCATTCCTCCAGCCTTTCTTACTTTAGTTGTTTTGCAGGTAGACTTGTGTTTTTGCCCAGGGCTGACTGCAGACTGTGATCTCATGGCCTCTTGGGTAACTGGACCACACCTCACTTATTGATTGAGATGGGGTCTAGTTAACTACTCCCCAGCTCCTCATCCCCATTCCCACAACCCCCTACCTCCTGGGTTGACCTTGAACTATGATCTGCCCAATCTCTACCTCCTGAGTATCTGGTATTACCTGCTCCACCTAGATAATTTTCCTGTAATGTTTTACATAACAGAATATAATACTGAAACTGAATTTTTTCTTTGTAATTTTAAAATTTATAACTTTTGTGGTTAAATTATATGTTTTATTTACTTATTCATGTGCAATTATTGTAAAATAAAAATTGCATATACTTGAAGGAATGTTAAAGTCACTCTTACTGTGACTTTAAGTGCTAAGTGAGCCAAGCTTTTAAACAAAGTCCTTTCTCAGTTAATTTTGATTTGCTTTTATAAGTCAGTAGTGGTCTTATTTATGATAATAATGAAATGAACTTTTGACCAGGCTTTTTTCATAAAACCATTGAAACTTTAAGTACAAATTTATGTTGCTTTCCATAAATGTTGAGAGGACAGACATGAGTAGAATGTGTGATTTTTTCTAAGTCTTCAACCTCAATCTGTACAGTCTCAGAAGCATTCATCCCTGATTCAATCTTCCACATTTATTTAAAATCAATATAACTTCTCCCATGAGGCAATGCTTAAAAAATAAGTACCTTGCTCATATTAAATTACTTTGTATGACTTGTTTGACTTTGCATTAAATATAGTAAATGTGTTTGATGTTTATATGCTCATTTTCCCATACTACTTCTAAATTTGCCCTTCAAATCAGTTTTCCTTAAATGGTCAATTAATTATATGAAAAGATTTGACTTCTAGATATCCTTTAAGTTTTTTAAGAATTATGTAAAATAATCTCTAAGAAATTCTGAAACCTTAGAATGTTATGCCTGGAATACCTGAAAATCTATAATAAAAGTTAAACAAATTACAACTGAGCTTCTCAAATGGAAATGAGTTTACCTTGGTTCTTTCTGAATTTACTTTTGAATTTATTTTTAATCTATTACTTTTAAACATTGGCATTCTAATACATTACTTCTTAACATTTTTCTACATAACCGTGTCTTTATATTTACTTATAATTTACACTTGGTCTAGTTTTAAATAAGTTTCCAGTAAGTACATTTGCATTTACAGAATAATTAAAACAGAGATCATAAACCTGACACTAGAAACTAGAAGCTGTTCATCTGGACACCAGAATAAGATAGTTGCTGAAATTTAGTTATTTTATTTGATCCCGCTCCCATTGGTACAAACCCCTCAAACATGACCTGTTTTGCCTTTCTGTTCTCTGTTTTTTATAAAAAAAAGAAAAAGACATCTTTGGTTTTTTAGGATAGCTATTCAGGGTGTTTCACTGTGACATTTCTATGTATATATCTATTATAACATGAATTGGTTCATCCACTCTTTTTTTCTTATGGTGATTTCAATTGAATTTCAATAGCACTTTGTAATTTGAGGATCTCTTCATATAGAATGTTACTATAATTTTTTTTGCATAGTTGAATACTAACCCTACAAATCTTTATCAATTGCTACTCAGAAAAGGGGAGGATACCCAAAACCCACTGACCACTTGAATATCACTGTGCTCTCTTGCAGCCTGTGAACTTATGAATCAAGGCATCTTGGCCCTAGTCAGCTCCATTGGCTGCACTTCTGCAGGGTCCCTCCAGTCTTTAGCAGATGCCATGCACATCCCTCACCTTTTCATTCAGCGCTCAACAGCCGGGACTCCAAGAAGTGGCTGTGGACTCACCAGGAGCAACAGGAATGATGACTACACCCTTGCAGTTCGCCCACCTGTGTACCTGAATGATGTTATCCTAAGAGTAGTCACAGAGTACGCCTGGCAGAAATTCATAATATTCTATGACAGTGAATATGGTAAGTCTTTCTTATCTGTATGAGGTTGTTGGGGTTTTTTTGTTTGTTTGCTTTTTGGTGGTACTGGGGTTTGAACTCAAGGCCTTGTGCCTACTATGTGGTCACTCTATCACTTGTGCCACACTCCTACCCCTCTTTATAAGGATTCATCTCTGTTAAATAAATATTTTATTTTTGATTAGCATATATTAATGACTCATATCAATGCAGTTCAGTATAGTATTTGCAAAAATGGAATCACATCACACTAAGAAGCTTCTAAACAGCAAAGGAAGCAATCACAGAATGGGAGAAAATATTTATCCATCAGACCAAGGATTAATACAAAGAATATATAGTGATTATTTCTTTTTCTTTTTTATTAGTTTGTATTAATTGCGCAAAGGGATTTCTCTCATTCACATGTTGTACTTGATCAGATTAAGTCACTCTGTTGTTCTTTTCCATGGTCCTCCTCTTCTGCTATTTTTCAACAGCTTTTAGTGGGTTTCCGTATGCCATCTTCATACAAAGACACAGTGTATTTCAATATTATTCACCTCCCATCTTCTCTTTCCCTCCACCCTGCCCCCCAAAACAGTCCCACAACTACAATGATGATATTTGCATCAGAAGCAACTTCAGTAAATTCTGTAAATTTTTTTATAAATGTTTTATTAGGGTATATTCATTGTACCTGGGGATTCATAGTGACAAATCCAATTAGAATTGTATTGTACATTATTTACATTTTGCCCGTTATCTCTCCCCCTCACCCCTCCTCACCTCACTTCAAGCAACTGCAAGGTTCTTTAGTTCTGTTTCATATAGGTATTTGAAGTCCATCAATCATATATCCTCACCTTAAGCTCCTTCTTTCACTCCCCCTCCCACTAGTACACCCCTTCTCCTGCACACACTGTGCCTATTTTATAACCCTAGTTTTTGTTATTAATATTTAAGTTGATGATCAAAAGGGTGTCTCAATGTATACCCTCTGTGGGTGTGTTTTACATTGCTCTGTTCAAGCCCTTGGATTGTTCTCCCTTACCACTTTACCTCCCACCCACCAGTTTTCAACAGCTTTCAATACACATCCTTATATCCTCTACCCTTCACATCTTATGGTATGTGGTATTACTGATGTTCTATCATTCTCTTTGCCTTTCCCTCTTTCCCCAAATTCCATAGAGTAGTTCCACTGCTACAAACATGTTCCACATCTCAGTTTGTATATGATCACACTTGTTTTTGTGTATATGTTTATCTTTGGATCTATCTTCCTTGCATGAGTGAAAACATGAGACTTTTGTGTTTCTGATCCTAGCTAACTTCACTCAACATGATGACCTCCAATCGCATCCATTTACCTTCAAACCACATGTTCCTTGTGGCTGATCAATTCTCCATTGTGTATATACCACAATTTCTTGATCCATTCATCAGTTGTAGGGCATCTGTGTTGTTCCCAGAGTTTAACTATTGTGAATAGTGCTGCAATGAACATTGCTGTACAGGTGTTTCTATTGTATGCTGTTTTGCATTCTTTTGAGTAGATGCAGGATCAGGAGTGGTATCACTGGATCATATGGCAGTTTTATCTCTAGTTTTTTGAGGAATCTCCATACTGCTTTTCATAGTGGTTGTACAATTTTCATTCTTACCAGCAGTGTATAAGGGTTCCTGTTTCGCCATATCCTTGCTGGCATTTGTTGTTATTACCCTTAATTATGACCATTCTTATTGGGGTGAGATGAAATTGAAGTGTTGTTTTGATTTGCAGCTCTTTTATAACCAGGGAAGTTGAACACTTCTTCATGTATTCACTGGTCATTTTGACTCTTCCTTTGAGAATTCCCTGTTTCATTTATGTGCCCATTTCTTCATTGGGATGTTGATACTTTGGGGACTGAGTTTTTTGAGTTCCCTGTAGATTCTTGATATTAGTCCCTTATCAGATGAGTAGCTGGCAAAGATTTTCTCCCATTCTGTGGGCCATCTCTTGAGTCTGGTGACTGTTTCATTTGCTGTGCAGAAGCTCTTTAGTTTGATGCAGTCCCATTTGTTCATTTTTTCTCTTAGATGCTGAGACTTTTGAGTTCTGTTTAAAAAGACATTCCTTACACTTATCTGTTCCAGTGTATTTCCTACTACTTCTCAGAGTTGTTTCATAGTTTCAGGGATTCTATTAAGATCTTTGAGTTGATTTTAGTACAGGGTGAAAAACAAAGATATAGTTTCAGTCTTCTACATGTGGATATCCAGTTTTCCCAGCAACATTTGTTGAAGAGGCTGTCTTTTCTCCATTGTGTATTTAGGGCTCCTTTGTCCAAGATCAGTTGACTATAGATGCATGGGTTTATGTCTGGATCTTCTATTGTGATACATTGGTCTTCCTGTCTGTTTTTGTCCCAATACCATGCTGTTTTCATTGTTATTGCTCTGTAGTATAGTTTGAAGTTGGGTATTCTGATGCCTACAGGATTGGACTTTTTGCTTAGAATTGCTTTGGCTAGTCATGGTCTTTGTGTTTCCATATGTATTTCGCAGTTGTTTTTCTATTTCTGTGCAGAATGTAATTGGAATTTTGATAGGGATTGTGTTGAACATGTAGATTGCTTTTGGTGGTATGGCCATTTTCACAATGTTGATTCTACTGATTCATAAAAATGGAAGGTCTTTCCATCTTCTGATATGTTCTTCAATTTCTCTCTTCAGTGATTTATAGTTTTGATTAAAAACATCTTTGGTTTCTTTTGTTAAATTTATTCCCAGGGTCTTTATTGGTTTTGAGTTTATTGTAAATGGGATTGTTTCTCTGATTTCTTTCTCAGTCTGTGTGCTGTTGGTAGATTTAAAAAAAGCTACTGATTTCTGTATGTTAATTTTGTATCCTATACTGCCAAAGGAGTTTATGAATTTCTAATAGTTTTTTGGTAGAGTTTTTAGGGTTTCTTAGGTATAGGATCATGTCAACTGCAAATAGAGATAGTTTGACTTCTTCCTTCCCTATTTATATTCCTTTTGTTTCTTCCTCCCTTCTTATTGCTCTGGCTAGGAATTCCAAAGCTGTATTGAATAGGAGTGGAGAAATCTGACAGCCCTGTCTCATTCTAGACTTTAAGGCAAACAGTAGTTCTCCATTTAGTACGATTTTTGTTCTAAGTTTGTCATTTATAGCCTTTATTGTGTTGAGGAACATTCCTTCTATTATTAGTTTCTTCAGAGCTTTTATCATGAATGGGTGTTGGATTTTGTCAAAGGCTTTTGTGGCATCTATTGAGAGGATCATGTGGTTTTGGTCTTTGCTTCTGTTGATATGCTGTATTACATTCATGGATTTACATATGCTGAACCATCCTTGCATCCCTGGAATGAAACTGACTCGGTCATGCTATATGATCTTTTTGGCATGTTGAATTCTATTTGCAAGTATTTTGTTGAGAATCTTTGCATCTATATTCATTAAAGATATTGGCCTATAATTCTCTTTTCTGGTTATGTCTTTACTGGGTTTTGGAATGAATGCAATTCTGGCTTCATATAATGAGTTTGGTAGTGTTCCTTCTGTTCCTATTTCCTGAAAAATTTGAAGAGTATTGGTGTTAGTTCTTCTTTAAAGGTTTGGTAAAATTTGGCCATGAATCTTCTTTGTACGGATACTCTTTATTACTGCTTCAATTTTATTGTATGCAATAGGATTATTTAGGTGGTTAATATTTTCTTGGTTCAATTATGGTTGGTTGTATACATCTATGAATTTATCCATTTCATTTAGACTTTCCAGTTTACTTGAATATAAGTTTTCAAAGTACTTTCTAATGATTCTTTTGATTTCATTGGTATTTGTTGTTATGTACCCCTTTTCACCTCTGATTTTATTAATTTGGGTCTTCTCCCTCCTCTTTTTATCATGTTGGCTAAGGGTGTGACAGGAAGACTCAAGAAAGAATAAACCCTTTTGAGTAAGCAAACTAGTTAACAAGGAATAGGTAAAACTAAACAACAGGGGAATACAAATGACTGGAAACAACAGATACCTATCAATTTTAACAGTGAATGTAAATGGCCTCAATGCCCCAATCAAAAGACGCAGATAGAAAATTAGGTTAAAAAACAAGACCCAACCAGAAATTGCTTATAAGAGACTTACCTCACTGAAAAAAAATAAACACTGGCTTAGAGTCAAAGGGTGGAAAAAGATTTTTCAAGCAAATGGACCCCATAAACAGGCAGGAGTAGCTGTACTCATATTTGACAAAGTAGATTTCAGACTAAAATCAATCAGACGAGACAATGAAGGTCACTTTATATTAATGAAAGGAACAATTCATCAAGAAGAGAAATATCAATCCTTAACATATATACATCAAACATGGGAACACCCATCTTCATTAAAAAACTCTAATGACCCTAAGAGCGCAGATAGATGCTAACACAGTGATAGTGGGAGACATGAATACCTTACCATCAAACAGACAAAAGATCAACAAAGAAACTTCAGAACTACTCCACACATTAGACCAAATAGACATGGTTGATATCTGCAGTCTTTCACCCAACAACTAAGCAATACATTCTTTTCTGCATCTCATGGAACTGTCTCCAAAATAGATCATATTTTAGAACACAAAGCAGTCTCAACAAAGTCAAGAAAATCAAAATATCAGATCACAATGGAATAAACTTGACCTCAACAACAACAGAAACCAGAACATATTCGAACACATGGAGATTGAACAACACACTGCTGAAAAATCAATGGGTGACCAAAGTAATAAGGGAAGAAATCAAAAAGTTCCTAGAATTCAATGAAAATGAAAATACAACCTATCAGAATCTGTGAGACACAGCAAAGGCCATGCTAAGTGGAAAGTTTATAGCTGTAAGTGCCTACATTAAAAAAACAGAGATCTTTCAAATGAACAATCTAATTATGTACCTTAAGCTCCTAGAAAAACAAGAACAAACCAAATCAAAACCAGAAGACAGAGAAATAATAAAGATCTGTGCTGAGATCA